GGACCCTCAAAACCCCCTCCCCATGGGCCTGGGGACATTTAAAGCTCCTCCTCATGAGCCTGGGTACCCCGCTATAGGTCTGGGGACCCTCAAAGTTCCCTGTCCATAGGTCTTGGGACCTCCCATAGATCTGGGCACCCTCAAAGCCCCCTCCTCATAGGCCTAGGTACAATCCTATAGGCCTAGGGACCCCCAGTGCGCCCTGCCAGTGGGTCTAGGGACACCCCTATGGACCCAGGCACCCTCAAAGGGCCCTCCTCATGGGCCTGGGGACCCCTCTATAGGCCTGAGGACTCTCAAAGCCCCTTCCTCCTAGACCTGGGGACACCCCTATAGGTGTCAGCACCCTCAAAGGCTCCTTCCCATGGGCCTGGGGACCCTCAAAGTTCCCTATCCATAGGTCTTAGGACCCCCTCATAGACCTGGACACCCTCAAAGCCCCCTCCTCGTGGGTCGGGGGACACTCCTATAGGCCTGGGGACCCTCAAAGAGCCCTGCCAGTGGGCCTATGGACACCCCTATGGACCTTGACACCCTCAAAGCACCCTGCCCATTGGGCCTGAGAACACCCCTATGGACCCAGGCACCCTCAAAGGCCCCTCCCCATGGACCTGAGGACTCCCCTATAGGCCTGGGGACTCTCAAAGTGCCCTGCCCACAGGCCTAGGGACACCCCTATGGACCTGGGCACCCTCAAAACCCCCTTATCATGGGCCTAGGGACACCCCTATAGGCCTGGGAACCCTCAAAGTGTCCTGCCTGTGGGCCTAGGGACACCCCTATAGACCTGGGAACCCTCAAAGGCCCCTCATCATGGGCCTGGGGACAATTAAAGCTCCTCCCCATGAACCTGAGGACCCCCGAGTAGGCCTGGGGACCGTCAAAACCCCCTCCCCATGGGCCTAGGGACAGTTAAATCTCTACCCCGTGAGCCAGGGACCCTCAAAGTTTCCTCTCTACAGGTCTTGGTACCTCCCATAGACCTGAGCACCTCAAAGCCCCCTCCTCATGGGCCTGGGGACCCCCGATAGACCTGGGCACTCTCAAAGCCTAGTGACCTCCCTATGGGCCTGGGGACCCTTAAAACTGCTCCCCATGGGCCTGGGGACACCTCTGTGGGCCTGAACGCCCCCTGACATGCGCCTGGGGACCCTCAAAGCCCCCTCCCCATGGGCCCAGGCAGCCCCAGAGCCTCCTCCTTATAGGCCTGGGCAGCCCCCCGCCATGGATCTTCCTCCCCCAGGGTCACCCCCAACTCACAGGCAGTTCCCCTCCTCCCCAACCACCACCATCTTATTTCAGCGCCTCGCACCAGGCCGGGCCCGTACACCCCAACCAGTCCCCCCAGACCAACTTCACAGGCTGAAATTCCCCCCAAACATCCGACAGTTTGTCAAGCCCTTTTCCCAGGGCTGATTTCTGCAGGTTTTCACCCTTTTTTGCAGCTACGCGACTCCTCCAGCCCTTGTTGTAGCAAAGAAATACTGTTACTGACCTAAAAAATCATTTTTAAAACCAGGGAGCGACGGTAGCCGCTCCACAATAAGTTA